GTTAGCGTACAACAATTTGCCATACAATGAAACTACTGGAAGCGGCTCCAGTTCTGATGGAGGAGGCTTTTTGGATAGCGGAAGATAAAGTGTTTATTGTGTTGTATCTTTTGACTATAGTTTTAAGATGTATTGTATGATGACCAAGAATCCTCGGCTCTGTAAAGTTAATTCGTTTGAGCCTTATCAAATAAATTAAATTAATAAAAAAAGTGGTCTGATCTAGTGTTTCCTACCCGGGACATACCGGGAAACCATTTTTCTAGGAATGTTACAAGAGGCTTCTGGGAGAATTCGAAAATACTTTCTTGGACAAAAGAAACTACCAAGGGTAATCGCAAAAAAACCTCCGCAAGAAGTCCGAAACAAAATCGGGAGCAGCTAAAAAAATAAAATTTCGGGGATGGGAGCGAAAATATTTCAATCCCAAGTAAGTTGAAATGTTACTTGGGTTCTGTGGTTAAACTATTCTGTACATAATAAATCGTTCGACAGAAATTAAAAAAATAGCCGTTCTAATGAATTAACGTAATGAATTCAACTCAATACTTTTCTGGTGTCTGAACTAAAATATTTTCCGATTCTCGGGAAGAGCCATCAACTATTTCCCGCTTCCCGGGCCAGGAATTGAAAGCACTAGTCTGACTACCTGTTCGTGATTTCTTCTAGACCGAAATGCTCTGAACTTCTCTGGACGCTCACTGTGAAGCCCTTTTGACGTTCCCCTTGGACGCTCTAGATGTCCCAGTTGATTAATCTTGATGATATTTTCCAACAATTCTCTGAAAGCCTCTTCTACTGGTCTAGATGTCATGTGTAAGTTCCCTTTAAAGTACTTAGATGTTCCATATCAAAAAGTCTCAAGGAATTTTCCTGAACATACTCTTTTGATTCTCTGATCGTTCCCGTAAGGCCGGGGTCTTTTCCGGAAATCTTCTTGGGAGTGTCCCCAGAAGTCCTTAGGATGTCCCACTATAGCTCGCTAAACATCCCCTTTTATTTATCTGAACGCTTACTCCAGTCCCATGAGCGTTTTGAAGAAGCCTTCTCAGGACTTTTTCAAGAAAATCCTTTGGGCGTCTCTCCTAAGCTCCCACGGAGGTTTGCTAAAGCCGTCTGAGCATTGAAGGTCCCTACCCTTGTAATGCTTTAGTTCTTACGTTTCGAATTTCTTTCGTGATTTGAACTGCTATTTCGCCACTGCTCCCACTTAGTGTTTCCATTTCCCGGCTATTTCTGGCTACCCGGGGGAAGCGGGAAACAACTTATGGCTCTTGCCGGGTAAGTTATCTGAATTATCAAATTGATTATTTTGCACGATGAGAGGAAGAGCCGTACTTAAATTTTTTTGTGGCGGTCTCATTTTTGCGCCGTCCTCATCTCCTTGCTCATGTCCTCGATCACATTTCATCAGGGTAGGGTAAAAGAGAAAGCGACATCGCAACAAACTCTCTCTATCATACCTGTTTTCTCTGACATGGAGTGGGAGTTGTTCCACCCACGACCCGACGAGACAGTTCATTGAAGCTACAATAAAATTAAAATCCTTGTTCATATCTCCGGGATTTCGTAGAACTTCAATGTGGTGTTCTTAGAAAAACAGAAACTTTCCTGACATTTGAAGAATTTATTTTATTTTTGTTGAACTTTCCTGGAGTTTGAGAACATTCCTGGAGAGCTGCAATAAAGCTCATATAATTTTCCTAGACTTCACAGAAGTCGTTTTAAGTTCGTATAATTTACCAGGAGGACAAAGAACTTCTCTGAAGCTCACAAAGCGTTCCCGAAGTTCGTAGAATTTACCTGAAGATTGTAGAACTTCTCTGAGGATCAAAATATTTCCCTGAAGTTTGCAGAACTTTTCTTAAAGTCTGAAGAATTTATCTGAAGTTCGAAGCTCAGTCTTTGCAGTAGGCAGTATTTTTTCTGAAGATTGTAAAACTTCCCTGAAGTTCAATGATCTTCTCTGAAGGATGTTGAACTTGTTGTTAAAATTTTTCTGGAGTTCGAAGATCTTCATTGAAGTTCGTAGGATTTTCCACAAGTTTGTATAAATTCTTGAGGATGAAAATATTTCCCAGTAGTTTTCAGAACTTTTCTTAAAGTTTGAATAATTTATCTGAAGTTTGAAACACAGTCTTTAAAGTTTGCAGTATTTTCCTGAAGTTAGTAGTGCTTTCCTGAAACTAGCAGAACTTCCCTGAAGTTCAATGATCTTCTTTGAAGGTTGTTAAACTTCGCTGTTTCTCGAGAGCTTGCAACAGTTTCCTGCGGCTCGCAGAACTTTACTGATAAAATAAGATCTTCATTGAAGTTCACAAAATGTTCCTGAAGATTGTAGAACTTCTTCGAGGATCAAAATATTTCCCTGAAGTTTGCAGAACTTTTCTTAAAGTTCGAAGAATTTATCTGAAGTTGTTGAACTTCGCTGTTTCTCTGGAATTTGCAAGAATTTCCTGGTGCTCGCAGAACTGATAAAATAAAATTTTCCTGAAGTTCGGAGATCTTCATTGAAGTTCACAAAATTTTCCTGAAGATTGTAGAACTTCTTCAAGGATCAAAATATTTCCCTGAAGTTTGCAGAACTTTTCTTAAAGATTGAAGAATTTGTCTGAAGTTCGAAGCACATTCTTTAAAGTTTGCAGTATTTTCCTGAAGTTTGTAGAACTTCCCTGAAGTTCAATGACCTTCTCTGAAGGTTGTTAATCATCGCTGTTCCTCTGGAGTTTGTAAAAAAAAATCGTGGGGCTCGTAGAATTTTCCTGGAGTTTGTAGAACTTACATGTGTTCGCAGAAGTTCCTTCAAGTTCACAAAAATATCCTGAAGTTCGCATATCAAAACAATTAAGGCTGGTAATTTAGTTAAGTAACTGGAAATCCTGAAGTACGCAAGAACGCTCATAAGGTTTGCAGAACTTTACTGAAGTTTAGAATTTCGCTTAAGTTCAAAGAACTTACCAAAAAAAATGACAGACCGTCCCTAAAGTTTGAAGCAGTTCCCTAAAATTCTCAGAACCTGTTTAAAGTTCGCAGAGCTTGACTGGAGTTTGTAGAACTTCAATGAAGTTCGTTTAGTGTTCTTGAACTCGTAGAACTTTCCGGGTGTTTACAAATATTTTTCTTGAAATTCAAAAAACTACGCTGTAGTTCCCAGAACGACTTCAAAGTTTGCAGAACTCTCCTAAAGTTCACTGCAGTTCCTTGAAGTTTACTGACCTTCTCTATAGTTCGCAGAATTTCCTTGAAAGTCGCAGCACTTTCCGGAATGCTTGCTTAGAAAAATTACGGTAATTGCCGTTGAAGCTCTGGCAGTCACTCAAGGTGACGGCTACCTAAACTCACTGGGCAAGAGTAGCTAAGAGTAGCTAATGTCAGATTGAGGACTTTTATTAAGTCTGTGCTCTGCTATCATGTCGGTTTGTCAGTTATCGGTTGTTCAGTTTCTTAGTGACAGTTCAAAAATCAACCTCGAACATTCCTGTATTATCCGATAGATTTTCGAACAGAAATTCGTCATGGTTGCCAGAATTTATTTTCTTGCCGTTAATTGAATAGATCTCTAGGGCAGATGCACCATCTCTTTACATTCCTATTATGGTGTGTTCCAATTATGGAGTATGGGAATCCCTAGATCATAATAGAAACGTATAGCCATAACTGGAACATCTGCCCTATTTAGCTTTGTAAAATCCATGCAATTTTTCCGCCATCCTATACGGTGCAGATAAGAGGACATCAGAGTCATCTGATGTTCTTAGAATGTCTCTCTGCAGTTGGCAGAACAATAATTCTATAAATCCTTTAGCTATTTGAATGTTCCCTTGAAGTCCTCTATATGTGGGCCTGAAACGTTTTTCTTAATTCTCAAGTAAGGAGTACTTCAAACTTCTCTCAGCAGTTCTGGACTAGCCTTGTAAAGCCTTTTTTAATGATCTCTTGCATAGGATGTTCCGTGTAATAGTATACTTGAAATCTTTCAAAAATTCCCTTTACTCGTCTGAACGTCCCTCCTAAGTTCTGTGGAGTTTTACTTAATTCATTTGGAAGTCCTGGAAACCTCAAAACTTTCCTCTAAATCAGACAGACTTTCTCAAGTTCTTGGGAAGTCCTCCTGAAATCTAATAAAATACCCCCTTGTATCCAGGCCGTCCGGCCCTCGATACTCCTGAAACCCTTAGTCATTATGGATTTCCCCGTAACAGTCGTATGAACGTCTTTCTATCACATATTTCTTTTGGATAACTTCCGGATGAAGTCATGTGAGCGGACCTTTTCAGTTACTTAGAAGTATGTCTGAAGTCACCCAGCTGCTGCATGAGGTGTTGGATGTAAGCCTGTAGGAATCAAACGATTATTGAGAGGAAGCCGACAGTGGAATAATCGTGCAACGTCTGTCCGACAACTCAAGCCACCTATCCTATCCGGTTCGGTTCATCCAACAAAGGCGACCGTCGGACTCGATAAACTGATATTAACTCATAGTCAATGTTTCTGCTGTTCTTCGAGATTTGCGAACATGTCTACGGGGTGGAATGGAATTAGATTTATATACGGCACGAATCTGGCACCGTTTGATGTTATCAATAATTCACCAAAAGCAAATATTTTACATCAATCACAATGCCAAAAAGGACTGTGAATTGTCTAGTGTCGACTTTCGAAGTATCAAATGCATTTCATACATACTAGGAGAGATCTTCGAATGGTACTTCTTTTAATACGGATCCCAGGAATTCCGTGGTCAGGCTCCAGGATGAAATCTTTATGCTATTCGATTATTTTAATCAGGAAAAAAGCACCTTTTCCACTCCGGTATACAAAGATTCCATTGATAGGCACAAAAAGCACTTGTTTTTAAAACCATCATAACAAGCTTTTCCATTCTTTCACGACGATTCAAGCCATATTCCCTTACATTATCCCCCTAATAGCCTTCCCTGAACCTGTTCACCGTCCCACAAAATCTCTAACATTCTTACGATCAATATATTTGCACCTACCTGACAGATTATCCAGCATGTACGTGAGCAGCTTCTGCGTTCCGTTGGGCTCGTTGTAGATCGACATCACGTCCTTGCCGAGCGGGTTACCGTGCAGCCCGAGCACGTGCAGATGGAACAGCTTACCCAGCTCGTACGGCAGCACACGCAGCAGGTTGTTGTTCAGCAGGAGCTCCCTAAAAAGGCAATCGGTTAGCGGAGCTAAATTAAATCCAAGTAAGGTCCCGAATGGGACTGACCAACCTCAGATGTATCAGCTCGCCCAGCTCGGCCGGCAGGCTGCGCAGCTTGTTGCTGGACACGTCCAGCGTGCGCAGGTTGGGCAGCTGACCGATCTGGTGCGGCAGCCGCATCAGACAGTTGTCGTTCAGGTAGAGCGCCGTCAGATGTTCAAACTTCCACAGCGTGGGGCTGAGATTGCGCACGCTGCCCGTTATCTCGACGCCGTGCCAGCAGGTCTTCTTGCCGGCCGCAATGTCCTCCGCCGAGAGAAAGGTCTGCTGCCGCCGGGGGTTGTTGTTGTCGTACTTGTCTTTATTGCGGGACATCTTCTTCGGCAGCGTTGTCTCCGGATGGTGCTAGACTGACTTGCGTTCGCTTCGCTCGCTTGGCGGCGCCGATGTTGCCCGGGCGATGATGACGATGATGATGACGGTTGGAGGAGGAGGCGCGTTAGCGTTAGATGACGGCTGCGTTGCAGCAAAACTGGGTGCGGCTCGTCTAGCGAACCACGCTTGGCGGCGCAGATGGTGCCGGTTGCTTTACAACGTACTTTGGCTAGCGCGGTAGATGGTTCCTGCGGATGGAGGGAGAAAAAGGCGGAATGTTAGTTTTGTTGAGAAATCTATTGCACTGAATTTCCCGCTTAGCTATCGGTGATTCTGATTAAACTAAATGACCTTCAGTTGATCAGTTATTTTAGTCTATTGATCTGTTTCGTTTCCGGTCGTTCGATATGTCCTTTCGGACCCTACCTGATTTCTAGTCGAACTGTTAGCTGTTTGGTTCGGTTGTTAGTCTTCCAGTCTGTCTACCTTTCTAGTTCGCATTTTCAATCCACCTATCTGTCTTTCTAGTCTATCTACATACCATTTCAACATATCTACCCATCTTTCTAGTCTATCGTCTATTTACGTATGTTCAGACTATTTATCTGTTTTCTAGTTCAACTTTCTGCTTGATTAGGATAGTTTCAGTCTTTTTTTTTTATTAATTTAATTTATTTGATAAGGCTCAAACGAATTAACTTTACAGAGCCGAGGATACTTGGTTATCATACAATACATCTTAAAAAAAATATAGTCAAAAGGTACAACACAATAAACACTTCATCTTCCGCTATCCAAAAAGCCTCGTCCATCAGAACTGGAGTCGCTTCTAGTGGTTTCATTGTATGGCAGTTGCGCCATCGGGGGGCAGAGCGCTTCCATTGCAGCAAGGGACGCAAAACGTGGTTAGCACTCACACACTAATCACGAAACGGTTGCTTTCCAAAGTAGTCGACGCATCGACCGAAAGAACAGCTGATGAAGAACAATGAGGATGACCACACAATGGGTGCTGCCGAGAAAACAGACGATCGCGTGGCACACATCGAGAGTGGCCTGCTTTTGTCGACAGCCAAGTGAACACTCAGTTTTAGTCTTTACTCCGAATTAATTCTTGGAGTTCAATTCCCTTGAAAATTCGCATAATACCTTTAAAATTATCCTCAGAATTTTCATTGAATTAATTTCAGAGTTGCCTTTTGCGTACTCAAAACTACCTTGGAATACTCCTTAGGTTTCATCTAGAATCTTAAGTTTCTCAAAACTAACTTGAAAGGAGAAGTTCCTTGGAATTTTCCCTCACATTTCCTTGAAATTATCTCCATTTTTCCTTGAAAATTCTCATCAGATACATTCATCAAAGTCTAAGGAATTCTCTATACAAGGAGGTGGACAAAGATATTGTCTTGCTTCATTGTTTGGTATGTTTTGTGTTAATATGTGTCTACTAGATTTTTCAAAATGTGCTGGAGTTAAGATCTTGATGTCCTATTGACTCAATGTGGTATCATAAGCCCGTTTTCGACGTATTCAACACATCATCAGAGCCCTAAAAAGCTGTACGTCTTAGAATGGTTGCAATAAGATATTTAATGTTCAATGAGCAAACCATTCTGGAGTTCAGATCTTGAGTTAGATCGGCTCAATAAAGGTTCAACGAATCCATATGACTTCAAGAAGTTCAAGATAACCTTTAAGTTATTAATATGATTTGGCATTGGATGATATCAATAGGATACTTGTTCCTCTCCAAAGTACTATGGAGATCAGATCTTGGAGATCTAAAAGAAGTCTTGCACAATGTTTTGAGAGTCTTTATGAGTCCGGTTCAACTGAACCTTCTGTCAATATGCACATCATCGAATGGTTTCCATAAGATATTTAATGCTCTCCAAAGTATTCTGAAGTTCGGATCTGGAAGATCTACAGGCTTTATGAAAGGCTTTATGAGTCAGGGAAGTTCAAGTGAGCCATGCATATTAAGATTGAATGGTTTCAATAAGATATTCCCAAGTAACCAACAAGCCCGCTAATCGCCCTTTTTGCAATATAAGGCTGATATACGACTGATATAAAGTTCGGAAACCCTATATTTACCTTGTATCGCAAAAAGGGCGATTATCGGGTAGTTAGTGGGCTTGGTGGTTACTTGGGTATAATGTTCTCTAAAGTAGGAGTTCAGATCTTGAAAATCTGCAAGATCAATGAAGTCCTGAACAATGTCCTGAAAGTCTTTATAAGTCTGGGAAGTTCAAGTGAGCCTTCAGTCAACATGCACATCATTCAGTTGTTTTAAATAAGATTCTTAATGCTCTACAAAGTATTCTGGAGTTCAGATCTAAAGGGTCAATGAAGTCTTGAACAATGTCCTGAAGGTCTTTATGAGTCCGGCAAGTTCAAGTGAGCCTTCAGTCCACATACACATCATCGGATGGTTTCAATAAGATATTTAATGCTCTCCAAAGTATTCTTGAATTCAGATCATGAAGATCTAAAGGGTCAATGAAGTCTTGAACAATGTCCTGAAAGTCTTTATGAGTCCGGTAAATTCAAGTGAGTCTTCGGTCAATATGCACATCATCGGATGGCTTCAATGAGAAATTTAATGCTCTCCAAAGTAGTTCAGATTTCAAAGATCTCAAGGCCCAATGAAGCCTTGAACAATGTCCTGAAAGTCTTTATGAGTCCGAGAAGTTCATTAAACCTTCTGTCATCATTCCAAAGTATTCTGGAGTTCAGATCTTGAAGATCTACAAGCACAATGAAGTCTTGGACGATGTCCTTAAAATCTTTACGAGTCCGGGAAGTTCACGGGAGCTTTTTGACAACATGCACATCATTTAATTAGTGATATTTAATGCTATTCCACAATGCACTGTGCCTACACTTTTTATCCTATGTTTATGTAAAATGTTGGTGGATGACGTCTCTGTCGGTGGAGTGTAAGTGTTATCTGTATCCTTGAAAAAAATAAAACTTGCCATTCCATTGTGTTAACGTCAAACTGTAAAGCAGGGATGCCAGATTTGAAGACATGTCTGTTTGAAATTCTGTGAAGACCTTTGAAGACCTATGAACTTATGAAATTATTGGATAGCTATTCAAATAAGTTGTGAAGCACACAACTGTAGATTTTTGCAAGGCAAGTGAAGATTTTGCCATCACCTTTTGAACAATTTGAATCAGCAGTAATCAGGTTTTTAAATAGATAGAGGCATAGTCATTAATAAGTTGATCATATTTCAAAGGAAGATATATCTGCTTTGAAACGTCATTTCCTGGTCTTGATATCTTGAAAATTTCCCAAACAAATGTAAGCTCCAAGTTCAAAGAAATCTCATAAGTTTGATATAAAATAAATCGTAGCGTATGAAAGTCCAACGCTTCTAATGAATCTTGAGATATTCCATATTTCAGAATCTTGAAAATTTCTCCACCATCACGATATTGATTGAAAATCACATTTCTTTTTTCAATTCCACCATGCCAAAAATATTTGCCAGGGTGTTGAAGATTTTTCTTCGTTTAGAATCGTAAAATCTCTTGAAACTTGCTTTTTTTTAACTCTGAATCTTTTTTTTTCAAATCTGTGTTTTTTTTTCTGTATCTATGATCTTGAAAATTTGTTTATGGGTAAGGATTTCTTATCAAATTTCTGATAACAATCGTTGAAGTATCTTAAGTTTCTCCTGAGACAGGGTGGACACTGAACTTCCATTTTAAAATTTCAGGTTTTTCCCGGTTTTTTAAATCACGGTTTTAAAAAGCATTTGACAATCTGTTATACTAAATTTATATATAGCTAACAAATTAGTTGGAAATTGGCTTCAATTATCCGCAAATTTATATCGCAAATAATAATTTAAAAATCCAGCATTTTTCAAACACTGCAATTTATTGAGCCCCTAAGAATGTTGTTGGATCTGTATAAATTATCTAGTACGCTAAAATCCCTTAAATTTAGTTCGGTGAAGCCAATTTTGAATTCTTTAAAACAAAATTAAGTCATAACGAAGGCAGTCGTGGATCCCTGAGGGCACTTAAGTAGAATCAGAAGGTATTGCGAGTTTCACTATTACTTGAAATTATTATTGTTACTGTTTCCATGAAAGTTATGACAACAATTGTAGCACTTTTTGTTTTGGAAAAAATAGCATTTTAACTGATTTTGAGTGAGAGAGATAAATTAATTAACTAAAAAAACAGCAAAATTGCCATCCTTGGATGCAGTGGCGTCGCGTAACCTCACTTTTTACCTGTGCACCAACTTTCAAAAACAGATTTAATGCCATATTCATACTCGAATCGGTTGAAAAATACACTCAATCTTCTAGTTAACTTGATATCTATCCATTGCAAGCAATATGTTGATGATTTTTTATGTTTTGAGAGTTGGTGTACAGGTAGATTGAGGTTAAGGTGACGCCACTGCTTGGATGCGAAAGAAAACTGAAAGAGTGTTAATTCTAACAAGCAGATGACTGCACATATACTCAGAACTGACAGCACTAGAACGAATGAGGGGAGAAACTGAAAGAATATGAAAAACGTTCTCAGCGAGTGCAAACTCGAAAATGATAGATTAAAGTCTGTCTACGATTACAGAGTTGGGAGAAAATGCTATACTAATAATAACCTGAAGCTTTAGTGCGATAATTTTTTAGCTAGAAAAAGCTCTTAAGAGGATAGCTTGAAAGTTCCGCTAGAGTTGAAATTGAGCGACAATACTAATCAAATAGTGAGGGGACTTTAGGTATTTCCTTAAATTCACAGGCAAACGAGTCTGCGGCAGAAGATTAGTTCTAGCGACTCTTATAACTACCTGAAGCCCCAAGTTTCCGAAAGCATTTCCAGACGATGGTGTGTTATAATCCAAATCTTCTTTACCCAACTATTGTTTGCTTCTCTCGTCATGACCAACGTAGTCATCTCAACTGCTTTTCTTCCACCTATGTAATCGTAAACTTCACGTATGAAGTAACAAACACTTTGATATAATGTAATAACTCAGTACAACCATAAACAATGCTGATGATGGTACAGGAAATACCTCAAATCCCCTCACCCATCAAGTGTGAGCTAGGCAAAGGAGTGCACAGTCGATTAGTATTGTCGCATCAATGGCTTCTTTCTTCTTCGCATTACAAGCTTATTCCTTATCGCATATATGCTTATTGCGTGCTCTCAACTTAGTGTTCTAGATGCACTTCCACACTTATTAATTGAGAGCTTTCGATGCCTGTACCGTTTTTGCATTAATGTGGCAAGTACAATCATACTCAGCCCAGGAAAGTCGATAAATTTTCCAACCTTGCTTTGTAGCTGCGCCTTTACCGACTGAGTTAAGAGAGGTCACATCAATTGCCCTTCCCTCAATTTCAACTTCTGCTAAATTTTCACACTGCCGTACTCTAACGGAACTATCAATCTATCCTCTTCAGAACTTTCTTTAGCTAATAAATTATCGCACTAAAGCTTCATTTTGATATAAGTATAGCATTTTCTCCCAATTCTATATTCCTTAGATCTTTAGTAGAATTGTACTCAGAGTTTTCTTCGAATTCTTCTCAGAATTCTCCTGAAATTAAACTCAGATATTCCTTGATTTTCCCCTTATAATGCTCCTTAAGATTCTCCTTTCAATTCCTTTGGAATTCCATTTAGAACTACCTTGTAACTCTCTTCAGAGTCCACCGGTAATTTTCAAAAGTATTCACTAAGTATTATCCTAAAATTTCCATGAAATGTGGCTTCGTTCTTGCGCAGAATTTCTGCTCAGAATGCTCCAGAAATTGCCATGCGATTTCACTCGAAAAATGATGGGATGTAATCTTTTTTTTTAACTATTTGAATAATTACTTCTGAATTCTCTTGGGATTTTCCTTCTTAGAATTCATTTGAATCTCTCCTCACAATTTCATAAGATTTTTTCACAGAACTAGTTTCAAGCTACACCAGAAATCAGCAGGTCCGCAGAATTGCCTTGGAAACAGACCTTAGATTTCACTGCAAGTTCTCCTAAAATCAACCATTTTCCTCAAAATTAAAATTGAATACTATTCACAAGAGAGTTGTAAGCAGTTCCAGGCAAAATAGCGAAAAAATGAATTTTTGAAACGATCTTTGTATGATACCTAATGATATGCCTAATTGTTTGTGATGGACATTGATTTACATGTCTGCTAAAGTTCAGCCATTTTGGATCTTGTTAAATTTTCAAAATGTCGTCTTGTAATTATTTCAAAAAATTGTGGTACGGAAACGGAATTTCTGCTCGATACCCCTCACTATCTCTCTCTCACGGGGGAGTTTGGTAAAGAGAGATGATCAAACCGATTTGTACCTTGTATTTCAAGAAGACCCTGAATTGAATTCTAAGTAAATTTTAATAAGAATTTCTGAGGAGCAGAACTCCTGTGAACTTCAGAGGAAAATTCCAAGGAAATTCTGAGGATAATTTCATGAAGTTAGTTTGTGGGAGAAAACGAATCCAAAGCATCAGTTTTTGGAAATTTGTAGAGAATACTGTGGGGGTGAGGGAGATGCTAAAAGATGATAACAATTAAATCTGAAAATAACTCCCGATTTCAACGGAATTCGGAAAAGAATTCCAGGAGAGTTTTCCAAACAAATTATGAGGAGAAATCTAAGGAATTTTTGAGAAGTAATGCAAATAAATCCTTAGCAGACTTTCAATGTGAGTAAATTGAAATGAAATGAAATTTTGAGAATCTTTCCAAAATGTTTCTTACTGAATGCGGAGGATACTTCCAACAAAATTTTGAGGAAAATTTCAATGCAATTGCAAGAAGTATTCTAAGTATATTCTGGTGATATTTTTTTAGATAATTCAGAGAAGCGTTCCAAGTGAATTTCTAGAATAATTCCATGATAGTTTCTGGAGAATACAAAGCTAATGCTAAGGAGAACTCCAAGTAAATTTTCATGAAAAATCTCCGTTGAATATAAGATGGACTATTCAGAGGTCTTCAGAACTACTTGAAAGCTCCCCAAATTTCCCTGAAGTTTATTCTTCTTTCCTTTATTTAAGGTCGGTCTCTGTTCCGCAATCTAGTGCCAATCACCGACGGACATCAATTGCCATCCATTGACGGCAATCGAATGTGCAGGAAGGCAGCTTCCACACCTGCGTAGGATATCGTACCCATTCAACACACATGGGCCGGGACCTACGGCTTTACTTCCCTTCCGAAGGAAGACGTGACCAGGGATTTTTATGCCTCAGAAAAATCCCACCGACCTAGGCTGGGATTGAACCCAGACCCATTGGGGTGTTAGAAAGCAGTCACGCTTACCACTACACCACCGGCGCCGGCTTACCTGAAGTTTATGAAACTACCCTTTTATAATTTGAAAAACTAGCCTGATGCTCACAATATTTCTCATAAAATTCCCTGGACGTTTTCGGACTTCCTAAAGATTCATTAATTTTTCTAACGATCATAGATCTTGCCTAAAGTTTTAACAATTCGCAGAAGTTCTCGAAACTTCTTTAAATGTTATGAAATTTCTCTAATGTCAATGATTCTGTACTGTCCTGAATTTGATTGAACTTATGTGAATACCTCAATAATTTTCTTAACATCTCTGAAGTTATCTTAAAATCTGGGAAATTCTGGAAATTTCCGCTAATTTTCTGAAACTAATGGATCTGAACTCCCCTTAAAATTCCCCTTATTTTTTGAGATCCTATTTTTTTAAATGCTGCCACAATTTGCTAATGTTCATGAAAGATCCTGAAGTTCTCGGATCTTCCCTTAAGTTCCATATACTTCTTTAGTGCTCGAAATGCTCCTGAAGATCCCTGCAATTCTGTGAAGTTTTCCAAGTTTTTCTGAAATTTCTGGAACTTCTTTAGGATCCCGAAATTGTCTTGGAATCAACACGAAATAATTAATATAGTTCTATGATTTTCCCAGACAAATTCAAGGCTCAAATTTTGGTACAAGTTATAATCTTCTGATACTGTTTTTCAGCTTTCTAACTTGTGGTCTAACAAAACTTTTCAAAAGAGCATTCATATTTTGAGTAGGGTTAAATACCCCATTTCCGGCCTACTAAGCACAACCCGCACTTTATCTGTCTTAATCTAGCGCAGTTCAGCACCAAACGGAATGTTATTATTACTGATGGCTTCCAAATTTATTTACCTTTCCGTATGTACCGTAAAATTTGATAAAGAGAAACCAATCGTTGAGATATTGTCAAAAGTCTAACACTGCTTCTTGACACCAAACTCGGCCTACGGATTCTAAACTCGGCCTAACGCATTGAAACGCCATTGAAACGCAAATGAATTCACTTCGGCCTATCGTATGAAGATAAAAATTGATTCGGTCGGAGCGCTTCTTTTGTTTTTAGGAATAATGGGTGAAAACCTTAATATCACGCGTTCTCATTGACTTCGTTCCGTAGTTTATTAACTAAAGTATCGTACCAAACGCATAATTGACTTGTTAACCCTGAAATCATGGATTCATTTGAAGTTTTCTGCTCGATAGGCCCAAAATGGGCGATTAGGCCGAAGTAGCTCTCTACCCTATTCATACCGTAATGAATAATTAAACAAGCCTTTCACAAACTGCGCGTTATACAACATTAATAAACAAACAATTTTGACCACCCTGCTACCCCCACTGTCTCACCCGCCTCGCATCAAACCTTCAAAAAAAAAGCATTAAATATATTCAACGAAATCACCCCCGCAAATGTGCCGTCAGTTTCCGGCGAGAAGCGCTTCCATCTTTTCTTTTCCCGTGGAGCAGGGCTTCTTACCTTCATCTACTTCCGGGGGACACACACGGCGCTCTTTCTCCGGCAGCGGCGACAGCAGCAGCCAGCCAACCAGCGGGCAAACGGAAGAATGCTGCGCCCGTAGGGAATCCGACGACGGGAACGAAAACACTCGCGAAATTTCCCTTCTCTGCTTCACACAATCACACCCACACACACAAACTCACACACGCACACACACCCACCCACACTGCGAACTGAACCTCCAGCAGAGTAGGTACACTCGCGGCGAAACGAAATTTCCCACTTTTCCGATCCCGTCTAAGAACACTTTTATTTTCGATCACCAATTCCTTCCTCGAGGGGGACACACGCGCGGCGATTCCGAAGGGCAGATTCTAGAATTCACACCAACACTTCCGGTCCCGCTGCGAACGAAAACAGCGCACAACAATCTTCACCTTTCTAGCGCTCGGCCCCGCTTTTGCTGGAACCTTTGGAGGAGTCGGGATGCCTCTCCTCTTAGCTCTTCCCCGGGATTGCGGGTTGTTGTTTGCAGAAAAACAATGCTCACGGACAATCGCGTGCACACACACACACAGAGAGAGAGCTTCTTCCAGCTACTTAGGCAGCGATCGAGCGAGCGGACGACAAACAAGCAGCTGTAGCGGACGATAGGAGGGAAGCAAGCAGGCACCACTCTTCTTTTGTCGCGGAAGATTTCACGACGGCGACGACGACGAAGAATCTTCGACCGAACTCTCGTACGCAGATTTTGCACGGAACGAATTTGCGGGCGGACACGAACGGCGCGCGGCACACGGACACGACACACGGGTTTTCTTGGGACCGAATCCTTCCGCTGCACCAATCTTGGCGAAACTTGCGACGAAATTTACCAGGAAATATTGATCGAAAATAGAGGCGCTTCCGAAATTTTTGCTGCGTTTTTTCCTTCTCTCTACATGTACACCGATAGGATATGATGGATGGCTGGCTCGATCGACGACTGTCGATTCTCGCTCGGTCAATCTAGATAGGGCACAGCTCTGCTTTTTTGCTTTGTGTTGTGCTTGGACGGTGTTGGGTTAGTGAGAGCGATGGCTGAATCGGCGAGTGTGTGCGTGTGTCGTGGGAAAGAATCGACGAAGCCAGCGCTGTTTGACGTTTTGGAGCATTGACAGTCGTGACGCATTAGCTGAAAGGGCCTGACGCACACCGATTTCTCGAGGAAGAAAAACTCGTCATCCCAAAGAGGAAAAAAAGTGAAAAGTTTTTTCTGCGACCGGCAAGGGGCACACAATACAAAGAATCGGTGCGTTGAAGTAAAAATCTCGATTAAAATGCAATCAAAAGTATTTAAAGTAATTAATGCGTTTTGAAGTAGTACTGACGGAGAGGCATTAGGTCCTAATTAACATTGACAGATTATCTTCGTCGACTTTCTCTTTCGTTAATAACTTGAGCACATAACCGTTTCTTTAGTGCTTGTTGTATTAGATGCTTCTTTTACCGATCTGTGTGCTGAAAATACCTGGGAATGTCTTTACATGGCCGAGGGGATACAAAGAGAAAGTTGACGAAAGGAATCTGGAGAAGTTCCCTACTATGTTACCTGACTTATGACGAATATACGTTGTATACGAGTGCCCCGAATACAACGTATAGTTCGTCTAATTTTACATGGCAAATGCTATGCAAAATTAGACGAGACATACGTTGTATTCGGGGTACTCGTATACAACGTATATTCGTTATAAGTCAGGTAACACAGTAGGACCTAATGTCTCGCATAATGTAATGTAATGTAATGTAATGTAATGTTGCTTGAATTCAAGCTGAACAATGCATTAGGTCCTAAGCAACTTGAAAGTTTCTATTCGTCAACTTTCTCTTTGTGTCCTCATGGCCATGTTAAGACATTGCCAGCTATAGCTATAAATTTTCAGCACACGGATCGATGAAAAAAGCTATTGTCCAGCTTCTAATACGACAAACACGTTGAGAAACGGTTCTGTACCCAAGTTATTCTCGAGTTATTAACAAATGATAAAGTCAATTAAAAGAATCGATCAATATTACTTAGGTCCTAACGCATTGTCCAGCTTGAATTGTGCAGTAAGGTGGCGGCCAGGGTAGACGCGACACGCGACGCAACTCACGCAAGAAGTAATAATAAATAACAAGATTCTTTCAAATTGGTCCTAAGGTCCTTAGGTCCTAAGTAACATTGAAAGATTCTCTTCGTCGACTTTATCTTTGTATCCCCATGGCCATTTTAAGACATTCCCAGGTATTTTCAGCACACAGATTGATAAAATAAGCTTTTATATAGAATCTAATACGACAAACACAATGGAATGAGAGATGAAGAGAATCGATCAATGTTACTTGAAATGTCGTATAAACTAAAAAACAAACATTCGATTTAAAAGTTTGCATTGGTTCTTTCAAAACCCAACATTCAATTCAAAAGTTGTTCGATATTTTTTAAAGTTAAAACTTTCAAAATGAATTGTAGAACTGTCAAATTAAAAATCATCAGCCTTCAATTTCTACACTGATACACATTTCATTTAATGAAAAGTGTATCAGTGTTGAAATTGAAGGCTGATTATTTTTAATTTAAAACTAATTTTTGACTTGAAAATGTGGCATAGTTAAAATTAGATTTATTTTGGTTTTAATTTTAGTAGGTAAATATCTAATATTGTTTATTATTATTTAACAAGAAGATAATAAGATCCAAAAATACATTTTGTACATTGTTATTGTTATCGTGGGTGATGTTTACGTTATTCTTTACGTCTTGGAGCTATTCTCGCTTTGAGTAAATCTGATATAGCGACAGGTACATGGCCTGATGCACACTGAATAATAACTGTACTATTTATTATTACCACTTCTGTTCAAGTTTTGTTCACACAAATCTGAAAAATCTGTTCAACTACAACATTAAATTGATAGGTGTTGACTCGGGTGTTGATTAACGTAATTGAAAAACATTAATTCAGGCATAACATTTGATAACGGCACAAAAGCATTTGTAAACAAACATTCTAAGGCCCTTTACACGCGAACTAAAGTACGCCCACGCAAACCAATACCACTTACGGAAAGGTGATAGTTGCCCCTATGCGATGATGTTGTTGGTTTGAGTGGGCGTACTTTGGTTCGCGTGTAAAGGGCCTAAGAAGGTTTGTTTACAAATGCTATTGTGCCGTTATCAAATGTTATGCCTGAATTCAACTGTTCATCGTTGAAAAATCCCAATTTGCCCAAGATTTCGTTGGTTCAGCTTTTAATAAGCTTCAATGCTATTTTTGTAATGCTTACTTTATATGACAGGCAGGATGTGTCGCCCCCTCGACTTCCCTGAGAGTTTCCAGAACATGCCCGGAAGTGGCCAAGGTGGTCTTGGGTACTTTATTTGATTACCAATGATTTTGTTTTTGAATTCGCATGTGATTTGATGTGTAGCATGATAGGTTTGCCATCTCCAGAACCGGTTGACGGAATCCAAAAGTATTCAATAGTGTTCAATGGGACCACAGTACCCTTTATTTGGCGCTAGTTGTGTCCAATTCGGTGCAGCAGTTGCTGAGAAGCATGAGCGTATTCTTTTCGTTACACACATGAACACACACATACATTTTACGATGTCGTTGAGCTGAGTCGATTAGTATGAAAAACTCGGCCCTCCGAGCCTCGGATCAAAAGTTGTTTTCCCAAGCGGTATATATATATACCCTTCAAAAATAACATAAAAAATCCTGCAGAACAGAAGCGTCCGAATGTTTCCCTTGTGATCCTTTCGCAGCTGCGACAGCAGGGCCGGCAGCAACAGCAGTACTGATAGCGCGATCTATCGCTCTAGCACTAGCTGGAACTACACCAATGTCAACAGCAGTCGATTGTTCCGCCCACGTTTCTTAGAAAATCGAGGAACTAAATCGGTTTGTTTTGCAGAAAAAAAAACCTCAAGAACGAAACAAAATAACACAAAATCTCGAGTGCGACAGCTGTCAAACTAGTTTGGAACAGTGCGTGCCTTGATCCAAATTCAGTTCAAAATAGATCGAGAATTATACTGGTTTAAAAAAATTACATTTTAGAACTAGTCTAAAACAAAATATAGACCACCAGTGCAAGGGCTCGGTCTGGGTCTGTTCCAAAATTTTACCAAACCGACCAATTGGATCGCCGCTAAAGATGCCCTTTAACGATTTTATTTTTTTATCCAGCCCCAACTGCCCTTCTATATAAATCTTGAGCGCCATTTGGTCGCCCTATTCGGAAAATCCAAATGTAAACAAAGACATCAAAATCTAAACACGCGAATGTTTTCCTCCCGCACCGGTTCTCGTTCGGATCGGCATTTCTCTCGTCGCCGGTGAAAATGCTTCGTAGTGGCCACAAATTGGGACTGACCCGCCTGATCCGGAACCTATCATCGAAAAGTGCCCCCAAAGAAGAAATCAAATTCACCAGCACGATTAATTTACCGAAAACCAAGTTCCCCACGCGATTGAGTGCCGACAAGCGCTCGGCGGTGCAGGACCGATTACGAAAGGTGATGATCATTCTCTGTTTTGTAATCGCCAGTTGGTGTGGAGTGAGCTAAATTTCAAATTTTAAGACTTGTTTCAGTGAATTGTACGCCTGGCAGCGGGAGAATTTGCCGGAGGGGAAGGAGTTTGTGCTACACGATGGTCCCCCGTATGCCAACGGAGATCTGCACATGGGGCACGCCGTCAACAAGATACTGAAGGATTTAATTCTGAAGCACAAGATTGTGGCGGGGACTAAGGTGCACTATGTTCCCGGATGGGACTGTCATGGGTTGCCCATAGAGCTGAAGGCGTTGGAGGCGTACGGTAGGAAGAAAAACGGTAAAGGTGAGCGACTGGATCCGTTGAAGGTCCGGGAACTGGCAAGGAAGTTTGCACTGGAAACGATCGAGAAGCAAAAGGAAGAGTTTGAGCAATGGGGCGTGACGGCTGATTGGAGCAGAAGAGAGTCCTGGTATAGGACTCTGGATGTGGGTTACATCTCGGCGCAGTTGAGATTGTTTCGGGAGTTGTTTGAAAAGGGATTGATCTATCGGGATGTTAAACCGGTGTATTGGTCTCCCTCGTCGCGATCCGCGCTGGCCGAGGCTGAGCTGGAGTATGATGAAGCCCACAGGAGTCCTTCGTTGTATTTGAAAATGAGAATCAGCAGAGGAGAAGGTTGTCCTGAGATAAAGGCCAAGTTGGACTCCGGTGTGCAGATTTCGGCGGTTATTTGGACTACAACTCCTTGGACCTTGCCAGCTAATCAGGCAATTTGCTTCAATCCAAATTTAGACTACAGTTTAGTTCGATCCGAGGGTAGCGAAGAATTGCTGCTAGTTGGTTCTGATTTGATTCCATACCTTTCGGAACAACTTCAAACTATACTGGAAAAAGTTGCAAGCGTGGGGGGCTCTCAGCTGGAGTCAGTGCGGTATCGACATCCTATAATTGGAGAAGAGCTGCCGTTCCTACCTGGTGATCACGTGAAAGCAGAGAAAGGAACGGGTTTGGTTCATACAGCACCAGCGCACGGTCCGGATGATTTCCTAGTTTTCCTCGAACACAAAATTCCCATCAAGTCGCTGATCGACGAAGCCGGTTGCTACAACCATCAGGCTCCGGACTTTCTTCGCAGTAAATTCGCTCTGACGGATGGAAATCGGCTGATTTTGGATCGCCTCCAGGACGACACGGTGACCTGTGGCAACATAGAACATTCCTATCCCATCGATTGGCGAACGAAGAAACCGGTCATGCTTCGAGCCAGCGATCAGTGGTTCATCAACACGGATCGGCTGAAGGAATCTGCCCTGAAGGCGGTCGAGCAGGTCGATATCTTTCCGCACACTTCGGCCGATGTTAGCAAGAAGGTGCTTCGAGGACAACTTCAGAAACGTCCCTACTGGTGCATCTCGAGACAGCGTGCTTGGGGAGTCCCGATTCCCGTGGTGTACGAAAAGCGTTCCAAGAAGCCGATCGTTCACCCAGCGATAGTGGAGAACCTCTGTGCCATGCTGGAGAAGACGGGTAGCATCGATTTCTGGTGGAAGTCCGATGTGGCAGAACTCGTTCCTCCGCAGGTACTGTCTGAGTTGAACCTCAAACCGGAGGATCTAGAGAAAGGAAGCGACATCCTGGACATTTGGTTCGATTCAGGAATCTCGTGGCTTAGCGTCTTGGGAAGGGATCGCAGGGCCGATCTCTATCTGGAAGGGCTGGATCAATTCACCGGATGGTTCCAGTCTTCGCTGCTGACGAGTGTGGCCGCCAGGGATGAGAGTCCCTATCGTGCGGTGTTCGTCCATGGTTTCGCAGTAGATGAAAAGGGAATGAAAATGTCCAAGTCGCTGGGGAACATCATCTCTCCGAAGGACATCGTCAAACAGTACGGATGCGATACCCTACGCTGGTGGGTGGCCGCGCATGCCATTCAAAATACGTCCATTCCCGTTAGCCACAAGCTGTTGGGATCATCGGCTGAGAGCTTGCAGAAAATTCGCGGGATCATGAAGTACCTGCTCGGAGTGACGGCCGACCGGGAAGAGCGAAAGATTAACCCGTCCGACCTGGCACTCGTTGATCAGTACTTCCTGCACCAATTGCAGCAATTTCATGACGCGGTTTTCAGTCTCTTCGAGTCCTATCAGTACAACAAGGCGTCGGCCAACATCCTGACCTTTTGCGTATCAACGCTGTCCGGTTTCTATCTGCACCTTATCAAGGATCGTCTCTACTGTGGCTCCGATGAACAGTACCGCAATCTTCAAGCCATCATTAACCAAACACTGGTGGTGCTCTGTAAAGTCCTTTGGCCCATCGCACCTTTCCTGGTGGAGGAAAGTTGGTCATACCATGGTAATTTACCCCACTCATGTATTTGCGGATTCAAATTTCTAATAACCATTTTCCCAACAGCTTCCGAACCATTCTTCAAATCCTGCCGAGGGCGGACGCACTTTCCCCAGCTAGAAGACAACGCATCATCGGCGGCCATCATCGAACAAGCCCTCGATCTCAAGCGGCAGGTGTTTCAGCAACAGCAGCTTGACGTGAACACGTGGCTCCTGGCGGTGGAAGCCACGGTCCCGAAGGAAAACCTTTCGTTGCTACGAAAGCTTCACCCGACCACCTTAGACCAATCGGAGGCGAATTCTGAGCTTTGCGAAATTCTTCAGGTCGGATCATTGACCCTTCGGGAAGGACCGGTGGATTCCGAGCACCAACATCGGCTAGTGAAGGTTAGCAAATTGGAACGACAACTGTGCGCCCGGTGTCGACGGTTCACGGTGCAGCCGGGTAGGGCGGGGTCGCTTCTCTGTGATCGTTGCGAGACGGTGCTAAAAGCAAAGACTGCGTGAATGTTGCTGTTGTTTGATGTTCAGGTAAGTGTTGGTTGTTATAGTTAATAGTAATACAATGTTGCGGATTTATTGGAATCGATTTTTCTCTAAAACTATTCGAAGATCTCCCGCACGGTTTCCACATTATTGGGTACACTCGCTGCACAATTATGTAGGTATCGTGACTCGATCTTGAGTTCACCTGCTCCATCGACCTGTTCGAGGTCGGACTTGCTGTATTCGATGTCAAGTCAATCGAACGCCGACTCCTGCTGAATCAACTCACTTGAACAGTGTATGTGCGGGCCTTTGGGTTCCATACGCGAACGATATCTGAAATGGTGCAACCATGGCACGATATCACGATACTTCTTTTGGTAGACACTTCTTATGGTAATCTAATGGCTGTAAGGTTATTGGTCGAAATACACAGTTCAAATGAGGGGGTTAGAAGGAAAGGGGTGTAAGTGATTTTGATCGATTCTCTTCATCGACTTACTCTTTCGTTAATAATTCAGCTGCAAACCCATCCCTTGATTCGTGTGCCATTCTGGATGCTAGATGAGAACCTCCTTTATCAAACTATGTTGCAGAAATAGCGCAAAATCTGTTTATAAAGCTGTGGCTATCAAAAGAGAAAGTAGATGAAGAGAATCGATCAAAGTCACTTACACCCCTTTCCTTCTAACCCCCTCAAATGAGTTGATTCAATTCACCTCTGATCGATTGATCTTGAACGTCGACATGAGGGCAGTTACTGCGAAATGGACAATCAACATCGACCAGCATTCTGAATGTTCATTTCGTAGTTCAAGTTCAGATTAAAGGAACTTTCGAAGGAAAGTTAAAGGAACTTGCAATGGGAACTTTCGAAGGGTAGTTCCATGATCTTCTGAAGGGAAGTTCTAGAAACTTTCGAATGAAGGCATAAGGACATCTGGAGGAAATCAAGAGGACTTCTGGAGAAAGGCAATCGCACATCTGGAGAAAGTTCATGGGACTGCTGGAGGAAGCCCATCGAACTTCTGGAAGTTCCAGAGGAAGTCTATAGAAAGTTCTAGGCGAATTTCATATGATGTTCCAGAGAAAACCATATGATGCTAATATGAAGTTCCCAGGGGAGACCATATCATGGCCCATACGATGTTCAAGAGAAAGTGTCCATATTAACTGACAAAACCCCAAGGCTGCAAAATGCGTGTCGATGCATGTTGACATGGCTGGTTCTCGGCAGTGCGATGACCAATCATTATTCAGCTTCCATTCGGGTATGGCTATCTACTTTCATTTAGAACAGATTGGACCTGTGGTTGGCCAGTCGGAACGGAAAAACCCGGGAAATTTGTAGCAAAATGCGTGTCGATTCATGTCGGGAATTTGGCTGAGCCACTTTTTGAAAGCTATGACCACAGACAAACAGACATAACATTCGCAAGTTGTTCATCGAACAAGCATTTAACGGACAATTTAAAAGTATTGTAGTTGGTAGTACCACCACCCGTGGCGCGCCTAGTCAATTCCCTTGCGTTTGACGTTTACACACTACCGTCATCTGTTCAGCGTAGTGCCCACCACAGTGTACTCAACAGATGGCGGTAATGTTTTAGCGAGAATGTTTTACAGTGAGCAACATTCAATGTGTTATGTCTGTTTATCTGTGCTATGACTATCTACTTTCGAACGAAACAAACAGGAAACCAGTTGGACCTTTGGTTGGCCAGTCGGAACGGGAAAAGCCGTGAGAAGTGGCTCTGCGGAGATTCTGATTCACCGGGAAAATTATCAATTCCTGAATGTAGACCTAGAGATCCGTGATTTTTTCGAAATTGCATACCATGGCCAGAAAATGGTCCTCTGGATATCTGGAATCACCGGCAAAATGGTCAATTCCTGAAAGTAGGCTTGGAGCCATTTGGGTTATCGTTCTTTAAGATATTTTTTATTCGCCTTTCGTTCTAAGCGTGCTTTTTTCATGCCCATTGCGAGCTAATATCAACAATCAATACGAAACTAACGATTTTAAATTGGCTCACCACTTTAGTAGCCTATTGGTCCCAAGCAAACGATTAACGTACCCTATTCTAGTTGAAATTCTATTACTACACTATGTTTGTTTTGATTCGCTATGAAAGTTTGACAGATAACATCAGGGGTGTGTGGATTCATGCAGAACATGCAGGGGTGAGTGAAATAGCTTGGGACTGCTTGGGACCGTTGTTCTGGTACTGAGTGAGCCAAAAATAATAATGATTTTCTTCGGGACCCAGTGGTCTTAGAGTTACCTCTATGCTAATATAGCCTAATATAACCCGGCTAGGCGTTATAGAAATCTATAGAGCATTGCACGCAAAAGCTAACCTCAGCCAAAACAAACCCGGGAGAACCGTCAACTTCTTCAAGAACTTCCTCTGGAGCCAAGGGGTTGATCACTCAGCACAGTGTATGTATGTAAAGGAAACCACTAGTTGTTGCAGGCACAACCATTAGACAGTGGACAGTCCACCTCGTACGACTCTATCAAGTACAACACCTGATTGTATTCAATTTACCATTGTATGAAGGGCCCAAAATTGAGGGTAAACCTGTAAGCAGAGACACTTACGCTTAGTCCGCGGGATCAAAGAGAATCTCCTTCCAACAATAAAATCCTACAATCCGGTAATGTACAAGCCATCGCACGAGGGGATGTTCCAATAAGTGGAGAAGAAGAGCCCGCCTTCAATTCACGATCTGTTAACGACAGGAAGTTGGCAATTCCACCATAGAGGTAACTCTAAGACCACTGGGTCCCGAAGAAAATCATTATTATTTTTGGCTCACTCAGTACCAGAACAACGGTCCCAAGCAGTCCCAAGCTATTTCACTCACCCCTGCATGTTCTGCATGAATCCACACACCCCTGATGTTATCTGTCAAACTTTCATATACACGCTAACTTGAACGTACCCATTAATGGTTGAAAAAGACCCATTTTGAAGAAAAGTGGCTTAACTCATTAAATGAGTAATTTTTTTACCCATTAATGAGTATCTGTTACCCATTAATGAGTAATTGTTAATCATTAATGGGTAACAGATACTCATTAATGGGTAAAATTGTTTAATCTTTTCTTCAAAATGGGTCGTTTTTTACTCATTAATGAGTACTTTCAAGTTAGCGTGTATGAATCGCAAAAAACTCTTTTATGACTATAAAGTACACATATTTGAATAAAAACGGGACTACCTACAAAATGAGTAAAATTTTACACATTTATGAGTAATTACTAGTACAAAAATGAATAAATTTTATGCATTTATGAGTTCCAGATACTCATAAAATGTGTAAAAAATACACACATTTTAGGTGTAGTCCCGTTTTAGCCGATTATGCATACTTTATAGTCAAAATTGAGTCCTTTATAGTCATTTTTGCGTATTTTACGGTTTCCGTGTAGCGAATCAAAACAAACATAGTGTAGTAATAGAATTTCAACTAGAATAGGGTACGTTAATCGTTTGCTTGGGACCAATAGGCTACTAAAGTGGGTGAGCCAATTTAAAATCGTTAGTTTAGTATTGATTGTTGGTACTACAGTATGTTCGTTTTTATACCGCTATGAAAGTTTTACAGATAAAATGAGAAGTTCGTTGAGTTTTGAGAGGTGCATCGCCCGCATAAACGCGAACCATAAATTGACCTTACCTAAATTTTTTTTTTTTTTTAATGCTTTATTATAGAGATTTTTAACCATAGGCTAGTTCATCTCTTCCTTACCTAAAATGGTTAAAAATTGTTTATAATCCCTGCTAAACTTTAACTGAAATGGTTATGGAACTTTACATTAACGTTTAATGATAAAGTTTCAACCTTATGTATTATGGTTTTTTGGAACTGGACCTTACAAATAATGGGTTGTTAAGAACCATTACCGTTCCAAATTCTTGTTTTCTCCATACATTTTCGGAAAGAGAACTATATTAGAACCTTTTAACTTATGGTTTGAGAACTTTAATGGTAATGGTTATGGTAGTCAGTAAGGTCCACGAATGGTTTTGTAACATCGATCAACTTTATGTGGAATATATCGCGAATTGGTTGCCTGTAATTTACTGATTACCAATTCACGATATATTCCACGTAAAGTTGAGCGATAATACAAAACCATTAATGGACCTTACTGACTACCATAACCATTACCATTAATGTTCTCAAATCATAAGTAAAAACGTTCTTATATAGTTCTCTTTCTGAAAATGTATGGAGAAAACAAGAATTTGGAACGGTAATGGTTCTTAACAACCCATTATTTGTAAGGTCCAGTTCCAAAAAACCATAATACATAAGGTTGAAACTTTATCATTAAACGTTAATGTAAAGTTCCATAACCATTTCAGTTAAAGTTTAGCAGGGATTATAAATTTTTTTAACCATTTTAGGTAAGGTCAATTTATGGTTCGCGTTTATGCGGGCGATTAGCTTGGGACCGAAGATAGTACCAGAGCTGAGCCAAAAAGTTGAGCTCGTTTCTTCGGGACCTTTTGGTCTTAGAGTTATCTCTATGGTGGTACTGTTTACGTGGACTTGTCGATTTTTTCTTGGGTAGATTTTCTCGATAATTTTTCAGACTGCAGTGAGCTCGGCAGTGAGATGTAAACCACACTTCTGCAATGTCCACGAGAAACATCCTTTCACAAACATGTGGAAACTAAAGGCCCAAGCGTAATGACAGCGGAAGCGGAACGGCAACGGAAAAGCCCGATCTGAGTAAGCCAACTTGTCGGATTGAAAACTTGTTGGAATCAAATCGATTTCGGTTTGGCATCTTGATGTCATTTGTGACAACTGTCAAACTTTCCGTTTCCGTTCCGCTTCCGTCCACATTGCGTTTGGGCCTTAACAATTTTAAATTGGCTCACTACTTGACTAGCCTATTGGTCCCAAGTAAATCTATTAACGCATCCCATTCTAGTCAAAATTCTAGTACTACACTACACACTAAGATTATTTTACAGATTTCTGTAAAATTTTACCGAAATCTCAACAGCTGAACGTTCGGTAAACAATTTTACAGTTTTCCTGTAATTATTTACAGATATCTGTGAAAAATTCACAGATATTTGTGAAATATTACAGGAAATCTGCAAAACTGTTTACCGAACGTTCAGCTTTTGAAATTTCGGTAAAATTTTACAGATTTCTGTAAAAATTTCTAAGTGTGTATGTTTGTATTGCTAGTCAAGTAATGAGCCAATCTAAAATCGTTAGTTTCGAATTGATTGTTGGTACCACCAAAGATGAATACTAATATGAAACTGTCGGAAGAAAAACTTTCAATTTTAGTGTCTTCTTTCACGGTCCCTTTCATCCAATGAGAACCCCCCGTATTCAAGGTAATTTTGTGGTTTTGCTGCCCCCTCGGAAGAGATGAAATTTTGCACTCATTTTTATCAAAACAATCACACCAAAATCAGAGATGTCCCATTTTTTAATTACTCGATTAACAACTAATCGATTATTTTTTGTTCGCTGTGCTGCCGTGCTGATCCTGTGGAGATGTTAATGCCTATATCGGCATGATCTAACCGATTATAAATAGTTTACTTTTCGGTTCGTTAATCGGTTAAACGATTATTCGAATGAAAATCGGACATCACTAGATGAATGTGAAACGTCATTTCAAATATAAGGCCGTTCATAAATAATGATACAATTTGAAAGGGACCGGGGATAATCACAAATTACGTCTCCATGGTAACTGAAATAAACACGAGTGTTCACCGGTTGGTACCACTGAACACTGTCATCAGATAGAGGTTAACCCCGACGGTGAAAAACCTTATAGAAATTAAATATTTATGAGCATCCAGTTTCAGGATGTTTCAAGTTTTCATGTAGATGTTTTCAGTTATTTCTAGATAAACATTTCAAAAGGTCCTATCTGAAATTTGTAAACAAATCGAGTTTAATGCTTCTCTGTACTGTAGAGCTCACCATCTCTAAGTATTGTTTGTTGAAATTTTAATCATCAATATTCTGAAAATTATAAAAATATGTGAAAAAACGTCCAATTTGAAAGTTTTTATAATATCGCACAGCTCTCTAATTGGACCTTAAACGCCTTAAACATGTTTACAGTCCAATCTGTCATTCAACCAAAAAAAATGACAAATGCTATTAGGACCTTTGTTTCGTCTCGTGTTTCACGTGGAATAGAACAACTAAAACTCATAATAGTTAGTTGGAAATGCTATACTAATATCAACATGAAGCTTTAGAAAGTTTTATGGATCCAACATCTAACTGGGAAGTGGGATATGAGAAAATTTCATTTACGATGCCTGTAATCAATCGCTCTGGTTCTGGTATGGAGTTGACGAATTAATTGCGATTCCAGGAGTACATCAAGGCAAAAGCTTATTCAAAATTCTGTCAAATCCGACATGCGATATTACAAGCGTGGATTTGGACGAGGTTTTGGATCCAATTGCGGATCAACAACTTGAATTGCCAAGTGCTAAATTGGACGATTTACGCAAACTGATGCCATATGTCAAGCAAAAAGATTATTTTGCAACATTCCTCAAATACTTAGTTCCAGAAAAAGCAGGAAGAAGAACAATAATACCGTTGTAGACCACTTTGATGTGGATTTCGCTCGGGATCTCGATCCACTGGAGGACAGCGATGTAGATTTGATCGAATAACATGAATGGATGTAAATTATTGATGAACAGCTTGAGCGAATAAATGCAAAACGAATCATGTAGAATGCAAAAAACAGTTTGTTTATAAAAATATACCGAATATTTAAAAAATATGCAAATTTTCCACACACTTACATTTTTCCTGCATACATCAGAAAAAAATAATGGACAAGTTCTTATTATAAACGTTGTTTACTTAATAAATTGGCAGAATAGTAGTTTTAAGCCCATTAACAATTACAAATAATATTGTAGTTGTAATTATCTGACCTCTAAACCGAGGGGGGCGACTCTATCTACGATGCAGAAAAGATTGTGTTTTGCTGTGGCTAGCTGCACGCACGCTGAGTTGATAGAAGGAAGATTTATGTCGATTTTGAAGATTTCCTGCAAAAAGATGAAGCACGATGCAAGTAGATGCGAGAAATGAAAGATGATTTTTTGAAGATTGATTCGCTAGTGTGAGATTTTTCGAGCATCTAGAATTGAGATTTAGATGTGTCGCCCCCCTCGCTCTAAACCGTATTCTTACCAAGGTTTTAAGTAACATTAATCTTTGCAATCAGACCAATTTGACAGGTCCTAACTGATACTGAAAAAAGCCAAAGGTCCTATGTAACAAAACCACTAATTAAACCTGAAAATTATGAATAAAACGAAAAAACATACACTTCAGTCGAATTCTATGTGTTTCCTATGCATTTGAGAAAACAAAAGATTATCGTTTTATGTCGTAATTAAAAATGGCATTTAAAAATATATTGCAAAAATTCAAATCAATTTTTCTCCAAAATGACTGATAGGACCTTTTGAAATGTTTGTCTAGATTTTTGAAAAATCGGCCCCGACTCACTAGATTTTTTTTAATTTCCGTGTAGTTTAAATATATATAGATCTTGGGCGTCGGCATCACGGGCGCCTAGCATCATGAACCATCATCGTTTGTTTTGCCTGCCAGTCTGAAGGATCATCAGGATCTTGTCGGCGACGGTGAGCTGTTTCGGTGCGATAAAAAATCGATTTTTTTTTCGCACATCAAAATAAAACTTAATTAAACAGTGTTTGCATTCACTTCGACACCAAGCGGAAATGAGCTATCTGAACGTGAAGAGAATATGTCGCCTTTGCTGCAAACAAAACAGCCGTATGCGTTCCCTGTACGAACAGCAGCAAGAGCATCCACTTCCGGTGCGGCAGATGATCTACGCTGTTGCCCAGCTGGAGGTAAGTAGACAGCACAACCGAACAGCGGGCTAACGCCGTAATAATTTGTTGGATTTATGTTGTTGTAAAGGTGGATCCCAATGACGGGATGCCCCAGAAGATTTGCGTGACCTGTACCAAAACATTGATAAGGATCTACGAAACAGTGGAAATTTTCCGGACCAACGATTTGAAGCTGCGAAAGCAGCTTACCAGAACGATGCACTTCGAAATCAAGGACATTCTGTAAGTTATTTTTCGGAGGGATTCCTGTTTTCTTGATTCTTATAATTATGTATGGAATTTCAGGGAAGTGGATAATGTCTGCGTCAAACAGGAAGTTCTGGAGGAAGAATATCACGAGTCGTCGCAGCAGAACGAGCAAATTGAGACTGTTGATGATAAAGCTGATTACAAGTGGACTCCGGTAGGACAAAATATTGATGAGGCAGAGGTAATACCCCCTATGGTGGTTTCCGACGTTAGAAGTCAGCTTGTTGAGACTGTTGTTAAGATAGAGAATATAGCCGGTGATGACAACATGGTAGAAGATACAGGCGAGGATGGAAATAATGCTGATGATGATGAGTGGAGGTCCGAAGCGCAGGATAGCACTGAAGAGCAGAAGCAACCCCTGAGGAAGACTAAACCCAAACGCCCCCGCTATGCCACCAAGTATGAAAATATGTATCAACCTCATTTGCACGACTTTAAATGCTACATTTGCAAAAGCGAATCTCACGGATCGACCGAAGCCCTGGTGCAGCACATGAGTGCCCACATGGATATTCTGCCATTCACGTGTTCCGAGTGTACGATGGAAAAGGTTGTTTTCAAAGGGGCACTAAGGGTCAACGCCCATCTGCGGGAGCATTTGAAGCCGGAAAAATGTCCACATTGCGACAGGCGATACGACAGCAAATATAAGGTCGCACTTCACGTGCAGAAGCAGCACGCCCCGGTGGCTGACTATATCCAGCGTCCGTCGAAATGCAAATACTGCGTCCAAGAGTACCCTTCCAAGGTCGCGCTGCTACAGCACATGAAGCAGGTGCACTCTGCCGAAGCAGCGAGCTGTGCATTTTGCGGGGAAATTTTCAAGGAAAGGTATCTACTGCGCTTGCACATCGCAAAGAGCCACGAGCCGGACAAGAAATTTGTGTGTGACATTTGCAACAGGGAATTTGCTGCGTTGAAAAATCTTCAAAATCATACGAAAACATTCCACTCGAACGAGACGTTCGAATGCAGTTACTGCTCGAAGAAATTCAGAATGGAAATCAGACTGCGGGCTCATGAGAAGAGGCATATGGAAAATCCCAACTACGTACCGATGAAAGATTGGAGCGAGTACTACACCGTCCTGCAGGGAGAAGAATCCAAACCTGGCGATCTAAGGAAGAAAAGATGCAACATCTGTGGAGTGGTTGGCGCGAAATGGCTGACAGGTCACATTCAGAACGTACATTTCCCCCGCAAGTACGATTGCGATGTTTGCGGTTGGAGTACCAAAAATAGGGAAAACTATAGGACCCATATGCGGGTGCACGAGCAGGGAAAAACCGAGCAGTGTCCGATCTGCGAGCGGCGATTTCCCGACAGGCGGCAGCTGATTGTCCATCTGCGGGCGAAGATGCACCGAGGTCACCCACTGGCCGAGTCGCTGGACTGGCTAGGTGACAAAAGGCAGAAGCAATCGGATGGAGACAGCGGCAGTGATGTACGGGAAAAGGCTTAAGAATACTACCATCCACTGGGCAGCTTAATAATTATGTAAGATGTACATGGATGACAATATAGGATCATCATACCTTTACGTGGAATATGAATTAACTTTGGCTTTTATGATAAACTTTTAAAAGTGTTGATTTCGCATTGTAGCAAGTAAAAGATGTCTAATAAACATTAATTCCAACGACTGAGTTAAGCTGGCTATTTAAATTTCCATTTTACAGTCCTCCACGGCTCGCTAAAATCGGCAAGAAACCCGGACACTTCGGAATACATCTCGCACACGTTGGTTATAGTACTTGAAATTTATTTTGGTAGGTAACTTTAACCTCGTCACCGAATTACTCAACGAACTTCAGCGTCCGCTTCAACCTCCTCTACCTTGCACGATCTCTGTTCCTCCGGTTTGTCGTCGTTCCCTTGTTCGGTCTCCAACCCGATCAGCGACCTGGTCCGACGGAATGGCTGATCCCGGTGTTTCGTCCGCTTGTGATGAACCAGTTGTCTCTTGTTGGCGAATGTCCGTTTACAGATCGGACACTGGTGGCTTTTCCCATATTCGTGCGTCGTCAGATGGTGCTGATAATTATTCTTCAGTTTGAAGCTCTTACCGCAGATCTCGCAACCGAACTTGACTGGGAAATGTATGCTCCGTAGATGTTCGGTAATTTTTCTCGTAATCTTCCCACAGATGTGGCATTTACATTTCTTCTTTTTCAGACCTTCTTCTCCCTCCAAGGGGGTGTAATACTGCGTCCAATTTTGTTTGGCCTTATAGTTCGGGTTTCGGGTATGTCTCCTTTCGTGAGCTCGCTTCGACGACTTCGTACTATACGTTTTCGGGCAGTAGCTGCATTTGAATTGGTGACTCGAGTTCGAATGAAACGTTTGTAAATGGCATTGTAGAATTTTCAACGAAGTAAGTTTCTTCTGGCAAATGTTGCACTCAAACTTTTTACTCTGACCATGTTGCCTTTGAATGTGGGAGCGTAGTTTGGCCCTTCCGTGGAATACTTCACCACAAACCACACAGCTTACCGGGGCTGGAGCAGTATGCACGCGTTTCACGTGCTGCATCAGCGAAACCTTGGAAGGATACTCTTCGTCACAGTGATCGCATTTCGTCGGACACTGAGCGTTGTCATCTTCTATCGAACCATGCTGCTGCTGTATGTGGATAGCGACTTTATATTGGGTAATATAGCGCTTGTCACAATATGGACATTTTTCCGGATTCAAATGCTGCCGCAGATGCACGTTCAGAGTCAGTAGGGTTTTTAGGACCACCGTCTCCATAACACACTCGGAACAAGTGAATGGCAGCAGATCCTTATGCTCACTATTTAGATGCGCCAAAAGGGCTGCGGCCGTCCCGTGAGACTCGCTTTTACAAATGTAACATTTGTAATCGTGCAATTTGGGCCGGTTTGGATCTTCAACTTTGCTGCGCGGTCGTCCTCGTTTCGGCTTCGGGATTGGTTCCCTTCCTTGAACAGCAGTCGGCTTCCAATTATGAACAGTCACCATCTGGGTTGTAACAGTAGCTTGGCTTTCCTCGTCGTGTTCATCCAGAGGCTCGTTTTTTATACGGATATTTAGTTCTGTTGATCTGCTTCCATCATCATCATCAGCAGCAGCAGCAGCATCTTGTTTCAGTGGTTTCGATCCAGAGCCATCATCTTCCACGACTTCCTGTTTAAGGTAGTTTTCTTCAACTTGCCTAAAATGTAAAACTACCGACATCAGTACTCCCAATATCTCGTTTTCGCCGAAGGGATTGCTTACACCGTATCCTCTTGGGTTGGTCGGTTAAATTGCTTCCTTAGCTTCAAATCATTTTCCCGATAATTCACGATAGTGTTGTACATCTTCATCAGGCTGGTGACGCACAGTGAGCAAATTTTCTGGGGCATGCCATCGTTGGGATCGACCTAGAAAAACACAAAATTTGTGAAACTGAAATCATCAAGAATCTCTGTCCTATTACCTCTAGCTGTGCAATAGCGTAGATCATCTGGCGCAACGAAAGGGGATACTCTTGCCGTTGTTCGAACAAGGGTCGCATACGGCACTTTATGGTGCAGCATAGCCGGCATATTCGTTCCACATCCAAAGCACTCATTTTTAGAACACTCTTCTTATCCGCTTAATTGTGCTTGTTCTGCACCGATTGTGGTAAAACGGTTATTAACTTTTGTATTTTTACCGTGAACCGATAACATTGTTTACAATGTTTTACATTATGTTGGCGAGCATAAACACTCTTCTCACCGCAAGTGATTTCAGAAGGCCAACATAGTACGGTTCAAGTGAGTTGATTCGACTCACCCCGGATCTGGTAGTCGGCGTTCAATTGACTTGACATCGAACAGAGCAAGTCCGGTGTAGACCAGCTTTCTGGACGTCCCTTTCGTAGTTTAGTTAGCATTAGTAAGCAGTTTCACTACTACAGCAGGTTTCGTGGTGAAAATGGAAAACAAATCGATTTTACACGGCTATACACTAGCAAGGTTGTATTGGTGAGATCCTGCGGCGAGAAGTCAATGCATGCACGGCTAAACAAAACAACCCAACGCACGGGGAAAAATTGACCCAAAATCGCACTTAATTAGACGGCGCAGGGTAGGACGAAGGAGTCCTGAAAAATAGCTCATGAGCATTTCTAGCTCAAATCGTTAAAAAAAATGTCAATTTTGTCTCGACCCCTTCTGATTTGAATGAAACATTGCTCACGTGTTCGCTGCTACTAATGGTTGCATTTTTCATTTAAATATGATTTTTTCCTCCAGAGTAACTTTTAAAAAGGGCGTATAAAAAAATGGATTATTTTTTTTCCAAAAAATCATAACTTGAAAATTATTGATCTGATCAAAACGGCATATGAGAAGAAGTTTTAGGTTATTAAATTATCTTTGCGGAAAAAATACACTGAAAGAAAAAAACTTCGTAAATTAGTATTAAAAAAACGTAAAACGATGATTATCTCAAATCACCCCCCCTTCGATCTTTATAATTTATTTTTTTCAAGAAAATTGATGGAATACCCTTAAATTTCGTGAAAAGTGTATGCTGGTAACTTTCTTAAAAAGAAAGCTATAATTTTTTAAATTTTTGTTGATTTTTATCCAGCTTTCCATGCTCGGTAATGGCGGCCTGTTTGTATGAATACATGTATCCTTCACTGTGCTTTTTGACACTAACTGGAGGGCGTATGTTGTTCCATTTTCTTCTGTTCCTGGGAGAGGGAAAGGGAAGGGGTTGAAATTCGAACATCCAGATAGTGTCAAAAAGCACAGTGAAGGATACATTTATTCATACAAACAGGCCGCCATTACCGAGCATGGAAAGCTGGATAAGTTGATGAAAATGCATGTTTTTTTATAAAATAATAATTTATTTGGATTTTACGCATAATTTTCGATAACTTTGCATATTGAAACTTTTTTCCTAAGTCCAGCCGTTCTCAAGTTAATGCGAATTAAAAAAATATAATTATAACAATTTTCAACATATTAGGCCATTTTCAAATGTTCGTCGAGATGTCCAGCAACGAGATTTTATTTGTGATTGTGATTGTATATTAAAAACCAAACAATTCATTCTCAGATATGGTAGCTGTCAGACTTATCCGTTTCTATCTAGAGGCAGCGGAAGAGAAGCACGTTGATGTGGTCAAATGAAAGATTTGTTGAGATACCCTAATAAAAATAACCATAAACGAACGATAACCCAAATCATTGAACTATTCCACAAATGGTTTGGATGATACCCAGAACACGTCGTTAAGCAAATTAACCATACAATTTTTATTAGGGTAAGTATATACAGTATATATTTATTATTTTATTTTACAACTCATATTATTTGAATACATTGAATAATTTGGGTGTATCGTTTGAATTGGAGAATATCTTTACTGCAATTTGGTTGTTTGAAACTGGAATATAGCAATGATATTTTCGAGTTCCAGGAATTGGTTTCACTTTCTTAAAAATTGGATCAAATTCCGTGTTCTTTACGACTATTTGCCCAGTCGTACAGTTGTTTAGGGTTCGTTATAGGGTGCTCGTGTTGCTTAGCTAAACTTGCTCTGGTTGCCATTCTCTTAAGGGTACCGCCAATCGCATCACAAGGACCTTTGCCGTGTGAAGTTGCAAAAAAATGCCATTCCATTTCTACATTATGCTTATCTTTAAATCCACAAAGGCTAGCAATTTTTTTATGTTTTTGTATTGTGATGCTGCTCTATCTAACATAAAAATACACTTTTGGACTGTTATTTGCGACTTTAAAAATTCTAATAATTTTGAGATAAACAACTGAACTGCTACTGTGTCATGCTTTGAAATTGATTTAGGTAGAGGTTTACAACACTTGAAATTGTTATCCATCGTAAAAAACTACTTGCTTTTTAACTTGAAACGCTAAGAGAGATGAACTGAATGGAACAGGTGAAGAACTTGACTTAAATGATCTTTATTTCTTGTATTGTGTGGTTTACATGTATACCTTATCAAGTGACACAGATGCGTCTTTTCAGCTTTAGTTCCTTTTCAATTAAAATTATTATTAATTACAGTTCCTAGTCCTATCAGGCCTGTTTTAAGAATGACCACCTTGGTGGGATTGGTTTGTTTAAAATTTGAAAAAAGGAGACTACTTACAACTACTATTTACAACTACAACTAACCTACAACTGCTATATACATGTTCTGATAAAATACATTTTTGTGCAAATTTAGTCTTAATTTCGTTAATTCGGGAATCTATTTTGGCAATGCCTGCCTCTTCATGTAAATTTGTTATTCTAGTGTCGAAAGGACGATCAAGAACCATCCTCAGCACTCTATTCTGAGTGATTTGGATTTTGTTCCTGTGAGTCTGTGCACATGATTCCCACACCGGAGCTGCGTAGAGGATCGCAGGTGCTATGATTTGTTTGTAGACAGCCAGTTTGTTCACCCTTGAGAGGCGGGATCTGCGGCAAATCAGCGGATACAGAACAGGTGAAGAACGTCCCAATATATATATATATATATGTAGCAGAATAATTACAATGTTGACATTATACCTATCTTCATTAGGTACAATTGATTATAGCAAACTTTTTTAAGTGTGAGTGTAAGAAGCCTCCACGGGGTGCCTTTTTATGTAGTTGTGATATCGCGGGATGGCACAATGTGGTATACGTCAGAGAAGTACCTAGAGAATTTATCTCAATTACAGGTTTAATAACATATTTGTTTACCTGTTTATGTTTTGAGCCTCTGTTATGACATACACAATTCTATTCAGGTATACAACTAATAGAGGACAGAAAAAAGGTACATGAGTGTGTTTGTTGATTATTTGGGTATATTTGAGAGTATTTACTTATAAACTTGTTTCTTTTCTGCTGCGTCTAAATAGAAACGGGTAAGTCTGACAGCTACCATATTTGAGAATGAATTGTTTGTTTTTTAATATATATTCATGGAAAAACATCTCGTTGCTGGACATCACGACTAACATTTGAAAATGGCCCAAAATGTAGAAAATTATTATAATTATTTTTTTTTAAATTGCATTAACTTGAGAACGGCTGGACTAAGGAAAAAATTTTTTTATGCAAAGTTTTTGAAAATCATGCGTAGAATCCAAATAAATTACTATTTTACTAAAAAAATATGCAATTTCACCAACTTGTAAAAACCAACAAAAATTTCAAAAATTATAGATTTTTTTTTAAGAAAGTTACCAGCATACACTCTTCACCAAATATTAGGGCATTTTTTCAGTTTTCTTGAAAAAAAAATTATAAAGATCGAAGGGGAGGTGTTTTGAGATAATCATCGTTTTACGTTTTTTAAATACTAATTTACTAAGTTTTTCTTTCAGTGTTTTTTTTTCCGCAAAGATAATTTAACTACCTAAAACTTCTTCTGATATGTCATTTTGATCAGATCAATAGTTTTCAAGTTATGATTTTTTGAAAAAAAAATAATCCATTTTTTTATACGCCCTTTTCAAAAGTTACTCTGGAGGAAAAAATCATATTTAAATGAAAAATGCAACCATTAGTAGCAGCGAACACGTGAGAAATGTTTCATTCAAATCGGAAACACTCATGACCAACCGGTTTGCGTTTTGGGCTGGAAATGCTCTCATGAGCTGTAGCTTATGTGAAAAAATGTGCAGAATTGAATGGTGACGGTGATTGTCCCATTTATTAGAGCAGACCTCAGAAAGTGGTTCATTTTGCCCACTTTCCCTCTTATTTTGGAAGGAAAATTTGGATTAGCATCCAGAAATTGAGCATATTGAACCCTAGGGGGCAAGTCACTCTTTCACATTGTGCTAACACCTACAAACCCGCATAAGCGCGAACCATAAATTGACCTTACCGATAATGGTTATAAATTGTTTATAATCCCTGCTAAACTTCAACTGAAATGGTTATGGAACTTTACATGAACGTTTGTGTGATAAAATTTTAACCTTATGTATTATGGTTTTTTGGAAGTGGACCTTACAAATAATGGGTTGTTAAGAACCATTGCCATTCAAAATGCTTGTTTTATCCATACATTTTCGGAAAGAAAACTATACTAAAACCTTTTAACTTATGGTTTGAGAACATTAATGGTAATGGTTATGGTAACCAGTAAGGTCCATGAATGGTTTTGTAACATCGATCAACTTTATGTGGAATATATCGCGAATTGGTTGCCTGTAAATTACTGATTACCAATTCACGATATATTTCACGTAAAGTTGAGTGATAATACAAAACCATTAATGGACCTTACTGACTACCATAACCATAACCATTCATGTTCTCAAACCATAAGTAAAAACGTTCTAATATAGTTCTCTTTCCGAAAATGTATGGAGAAAACAAGAATTTGGAATGGTAATGGTTCTTAACAACCCATTATTTGTAAGGTCCGCTTCCAAAAAACCATAATACATAAGGTTAAAACTTTATCACACAAACGTTCATGTAAAGTTCCATAACCATTTCAGTTGAAGTTTAGCAGGGATTATAAACAATTTATAACCATTATCGTTGTTGATGAACAGAATCGATCAAAATCACTTGCACCCCTGCTTCCAAGTTTGGTTACAAGATTACAACTCTGGAGAGCATTTTGTGTCGGTCGTTGGGGCGTGTGGTTCTGAATATGGACAACCAGGTACAGATAAATTCTATTCCAACTCTTTACTGTAATAAGCTTGTTGACCGTTTTGTTGCCAAAATTGGTGATGATTTAACCTCCAAAC